CTCGTACGTAGGAAATGTCCAAATGCAGTTTTCAAAGAATGAAGAAAGAAGAGGCTTAATGCCGAAGAGGCCCCCACTTAATTGTGGCTCAAGAGGGCAACTACTAAAGCTATTGAGTTATTTTCAAAGGTTCAACAGCAAGTTCGAACCTTTAGAGAATGATTCACTAGTCATATTTTATATTTTACTTTTTTGCTCGTCATTAATTTCTAGTTATAATTGGGGATGACGGATCATTCCATCTCCTTGGGACACCAAATTCGTGTCTATATCGTCAAAAAGATGCATATGTGTTTAGTTAGTTCGAGTCAAAATATTTAAATTCCTTTTTTATCACATTTTGAAACCTAATTATTCTCTTTTGAATATTAAAGTAATCTCTCTTTTTTTTTTGTCTTTAAGATTTTTCACTGTAATCGTATTTTATTAAACTTGTAATTTTTCTTTTCTTTAGAATAGTAGTTTTAAAGTATTTTATAATAATTAATAAATATTTTTTTTAATTACTTGATATTTGTCCTTTTTCTTTTTTTTATATATATATTTTTTTTATGTAAATTTAAAATCACGTGTTTAAATTTAATTTTATTGCTAACGGTAAATAGAGATTTGATAAAAATAAATAGAGAATTAAATTGAAAAGTGCATCTGCGAATTGGACGATTCATATGTTAGGCTACTCTGTATCACTCGATTGTATTATTAATATAGTTTTCTTCTTGTTGCAGGTGATCATCGTTGGATTTATCATCAAACCTTTTTGATTTTCTTCTATTTAAAGAAGTCAAATATATTTATAATGGCATTTCTGAAGGCACACAAATGCTTGTACCCTAAAAATTAAATATAAGAATTTATAATATATTGGGAAATGTTATAAGGCTTTAGAATTTGTTTTTTAACAATATGTTTAATCATTGAAAATATCTGTTTCAGGTCTACAAGATCTTACTTTATGCATGCAGTTTGATTTTATGAAAGTAATTGTGACAGGCAATGAATAAATTACATACTATTGTAATTTATTCTGATTATTTTTATGATTTGTTTATATGTAAAATTGTTTATTTTTTGGGTGTTCTATTTTGATATGAACAGAATAAGTACTTTAAAACAGATGTAGGGAAAAAATAGTTTAATTTCATACACTAGTTTAGAAATTGGTGGTTTTACCATGTCTATTTACGTTTTTTATTGATATATAAGTAATACTGTTATTTAAATTTTAATTCAATTTTAGTGAAATATATTTGAATTATTGCTGATATATCTGGTGTACATCAGTAGATAAAAGTAGATTTTCCCTCTGTCGGTAATTCTAAGTGTTTACAAATAGTGGATTGTATACGTAAACAGTATAACCTTAAAGTAAAGATACATAATACGATGGATATTAATAATAATGTGGAATTAATACGACAGGAAATAATTAAAAACCATCTTCAATTTACTGCATTAATACAAGTAAATTAAGAAATTTATCGTTATAAAATAAATTTAGAAAGATAACCTCAATTCTTTGGTTAAAATACCTTTATTAGAAAAAAATCTAATTTCTAGGATATACAACAATGTAGTGGACCCTTAGAATTACTTAATGAACTTAATACAGAAGGAAGGGAAAAAATTACAGCATTAAAATCCAGTATAGAAAAGTTGAGTTCTCTAGCCGAAATCAAAGTTAACGAAAAGGAAAGAACAGAATTGCTAGCAGAAGTTGAATCATACAAGTGCCAATTAACTGCATCTCTTAAAACATTTCGCAAAGCCAATGTTATTAGCGCATGTGTTATAGATAAATTGTCAAGAGAGGATTTACTTTCGATATCTGAAGAACAACAAAATGCTCTTCGTAAACGAAGGGATAAACAGGGTTTAGCGAGTGCATCTAGTCAAGTAACAGATAAACTATTAAGCATTTCCAGACACTTAGCTGAAACAACTCAGAAAAGTGCAGACACTTTAGACACACTCTGTACGAATATAATTACAAATCATTAGATTTATATCTTCTTATATAGAGAACAAGCTAGTAGTAATTAATTATTTTTGTTTTAGTAACATCTTCGGATAAAGTGTCTGGAACTAAAAATGAATTGGAACATCAACAGCAAGTAATAGTGCAATCAGGAAAATTGTTAGGAAAATATGGTAGACGTGAGGTTACTGATAAAGTAGTACTTTTTTTAGCATTTGCTTTCTTCCTTGCTTGTGTCTTTTATATTTTACAAAAAAGGCTCTTTTAAATGTTCAAATAAGTTGTACATAAGTTATATCAATGTATAACACTATTCCAAATCTATTCCTTTTTTATTTATAATGTAATGATGAATTAAGACCATATGATCTATAAAAAGACAAATTGATTATTTTTTAGAACGAGATATTTTCTCGTAATTGTTATTTATTAATGAATCAAATAATATATTTACAAACTAATTAACTAAAAAATGGACAGTCAAAGTGTATAATATATTTGTACTAAATTTATAAAGAATATTCGATCTCTGAATATTGTTTTTCAGTCTATATTACCACCAAAAATGATTAAATTCTGTCAATTGATTCTGGATAAGCGTATCCTGTAAAGAATAAAATCGAAAGATAATGTTTATTTAATAATATTAAACTTAAAAGGTTTTTTTACCATTTGTTAGGATTATTATCTTAAGATTTTGCAATAAAAAAAAAGTAATGATATGATAAATAATGTAATTAAAAAATCTAATCTAACTATACATTTTTGCAACTGGTTATAAATTCCTCTATGGATATCATTCCATCCTTATCAATATCCATCTTTTCAAAAAGTTTATCCACGTGCCTGTTTACCATACTCCAAACAGTTTGATCATTGTTTATCATTTCATAAATAGCTGATATTGTGGTCGTCATTTCGTTTTTTGAGATGCAACCGTCTCCATTTAAATCATAAAATCTAAACATATTGGTAAAAATCAAAGATATATTTTAAACGCATTTAATTTAAATTTTGTTTTTGTAAGAAATTGTAGGTTTCTTACTGAAATATCCATTTAAGTTTTTCATCATTAGTTCCTTTTACGATCGTAGCTATTCCTAGAAGTAAATCTCCAAATGTGACAATGCCGTCCTTATTTTTGTCAAAATTATTGAATACCATTTGTGCATATTTGGCAGAATCACCAAGTGGAAAAAGTTTAGCATAGGCTGGTTTTATATCATTTGTAGTAACAGTTCCTCTTGGACAGTATTGTTTAAATGCACGATATAATCTTTGTATTTCTTCCTTCGAAAATCCTGTATTATGCATCAAAGAAGATAATCTTTCTGGTAGAACATACGTTTGTTGCTTTTCTTCGTCCTGAAAATTCTCTGCGAATGTATATATATGTAATAACAAATCAAAGAAAAAAAGTCAAACAACACTTAGAAGTTTAATATGTTATGTTAATTAACACATTCGTTATTATGATATCGTTGAAAAAAAAAATTATTTTATACAACATTCACGCATATTAATTTATATACACATAAAATATATTAAGTAGACTATAAAACACATATACGTGATAAATTAAATTATTTTAAAAATAGCTGATTTCTGATGTCATAATTAATAAATAATATTATAATAATTCGGAATTTTTTAAATGAACCAGCATATTATACGTATGTAACGCTAAGAAACGAACGTGTTAATTTCATTTACATATCATACCAGTTATTCTTTGAATACTCTTTTTAACTTTTGTCAAACTACGTTGCATCTTCATGGACAAACTAGGACGACGTGGAACTTCCATTATATTTTTATTATTTAGATTACTATGGCACGATAAAATTCTTTTTTCAATTAATTTTCTCTTAGTTAACTATCATAATTATAAATATATATATATAAAAACATGTTTCCAAATTTAGGGTATGAACTTAAAAAAAATAATCATAGGAAATTCATTTGATTATTTTCAGTCGTTTCCGAATTTTACATCGTAAGATTAAAAAATATTGAAATTATTGAATTTAAATAATTAGAATAAACACAATATAATAATAATCGTTTGATCAGTTCTGTTAAAAGATCGCGCCTATTTCGTTTAAAATTTACATTTGATTTGGCGGTATTCCAAAATACGGTGACGTTGCATTAGAAAAGAATTGTTGATTCGTTAAAATAAGCCGACCGCAGAAAAGAGGAAAGCTCAGAAACCATCTCAATCGCGAAACTGAACGGAACTGACGCACGTGGGCACCGATGACCCTTCATGTCTCGGGTATGAGAATCGTTTTCGGGGAAAAGCAGTCATGAAAATATTTAGACGATTCGTCGTGACCGTGCTACTATTCTCTCTTTCTCTCTCATTCTCTGTTAAGATTTTAAACTACATGCTTTGATATTCGTCGAGTAGGCACGTTGCCACGAAATGTTTATTAAAGAAGGATATTTACAATTTTCCTAATTTTTAAATATTATTATGTTTTTGCCTTTTTGTTTTAAAATCTGATAAATAACTTCAAGTCGTTGTCCTTTTAATTTTTTATTTGAAGAAAATATTTGAAATTTCTAAAGATTACATTTATATAGACTTTTGTTTTCCTCAATTTTTAATGTCGTGTGTTTCTTTTTCTTTTCATCTTTGTTGTTGTTGTTGTAGAATCTATTAAATAATTTTAATAATATTTTTTTCATTTTTATATCTTTTTAATAAACTTCTTGACAATATTATATAAATGTTACTTTATTAAAGATGAACGTAGAGACTAATTGATATTCACAGGTGCAAAGAATTATTCTTTAGGAATACAAATAAGTTGTGTTGATGAGGGGATGAAGCGAATTTCTTTGTTACATTTAATTTACATTTTCTACGCATTTCGATACAGGAAAGATAAATCTCGTTCTTGAAATAATTATGATAAATATAATGTTTTGTCTTTATTTTTGCAAAATGACCGTGACCAGTTATTCTTATCAACGGTCGAAGTTCATCTTTGTTAGCTTAGTATCATATAATTTATGATGATTTATACGAGATATTTTTCCAATAAATATAAACTTGTTACCGAATTATAGAAAATCAAATTGCGACGAACTGATTCGGATTAAACGTAAGAGCAGACTTTCTCTGCCAAATGCTATTAATAGTCTAGTAGCTTGGAAACTAGCTATTACGGTAATAGGAAATGATAGTGCTAGTTGTAAGATTAGCTTGCTTTAAATGACTTGGATATTTTATGGATGTAAACTGTTGCTACTTATGGTCTTGAAATTTACAAGAAGTGGTTCGTACTTCAACATATAAACAATTTTTGAATGAATAGCATAATCATTTTACATGATATATTTCTTTGACATCAAATTAAATTTTGAATATTTTTACATTTATTTATTTAGCTTAACTATTATTATAATTACAAGTACTTTTATTTATTATTTAATTTGCCAAAAATAAATTGATTATTATCTCTAGTTAATTGTCAAGTGTCTATCTAGTTAATTGTCAAATAATTGTATTATTGTCAAACAATTGATTATTATCTCTAGTTAATTATCAAGTATTTATCTAGTTAATTGTCAAATAATTGTATAATCATTTGCCAATCGTTGTCAAAGTTGTTTAAATGTAATGTATATACAAAAAAAAAAAAAAAAAAATATAAGTAATGAAGAAAAGATGTATAAAAAAGAGAATGAAAAAGGTTCGAATTCTTGTCATCCTTGACACTATATTTCAATGTAAAACAGTTATCAATTTCGTTGGTGCGTGTGAAAGATAAAAACCACAAGGATGAGAATTATATGTTTATCGTTGAAGTCTTATGAATGAAATTATATAGATCGCACACAGCGTCTCTTCTCGTAATAACTTGAGATACATACAAAAGCCAAAAAAAAAAAACATATTTTACAACCCATTTATTTGTGGAATATTAAAATTATTATTTCATATTATGATATTTTTAAATTAATGTAATTAAATTAATTCCTTTTAAAATAATTAAATGCCTTCAATTATTCGTTCTTTTACGAGTTTTGGGGGATTCGTTTTTTTTTTTTTTTTAAATCGTTTAACAAGTTGTACAATTTCAATATCGATAACAATTTGTATGCAAAATTATTCGTAATTTCAAGTTTATTTTTTACTAGTTTTAGTGCATTTTAAAAGAAGAAAAAAAAAGAAACAATAAAAACAATAAAAGGCTTTTTTATTTTTTATTTTTTATTTTTAACAAGCTGTAAAATTTGTTTTGCATTACTATATTACACAAAATTACACAAATTAAAAATTAATATATTAAATGAAAATAAAAATTAAAAATAACAAAAGTTTGTTTGACTTTTTTCCCATTTAAACGGATAATTTGCATTGGATCGAGATAATTTGACAAATTGTGGGAAATGATATGAGTAATAGTAATTAAATCAGTAAATCGTTCTCATTATTTCTTTAAACGATGTTTATACGCATGTAGAATACGTAAAGATATTCTAACAACATACGTCTATTGAATGAAAATGATTTCGAATAACAATGGTCGGAAAATTCTCCCGGTTCTTTCCAAGTTCAATGCGACGAGAAGTATCCCCTTTATTTTCTTTTCTTTTCTTTTTTTCTTTTTGTCATGTTATATTTGCTCGTATAGAATAACAAGTGGGGGGGTTCAGCTGATAAAAATAATCTTTCTTTTCGTTCTTTTTAAGGAAGACTTTTTTTTATGTTAGAAATCGTATTCTAAATTTGCAAGGCAAACTAATCTCATTGTCAAATATGAATTCGTCGTTAAACTTCGTAGAATCTTATTCGCAAGTATTTAATCGTCATGATTTTTCTGAACGAGTAGGGCGTGTGTTGTTGGTGTATATAAAAGAACTGTAAGCACCCAGCATCTCTTCATTACGAAAGTGTATTTCTTATAACGTACAAGTTCTAATACTTTTTTCAAATAGAAAATATTTCCTCGAGGATAAATAATCATTTTGAATAAAAAAAAAGAAGAAAAAGAAGAATTAATTATGTGTTACTGTGTATCACAATAACTGGGGAGATATTTGAAAGAAAAATTTCATTGATATCAGGTCAGCTTTACTTTTTTAAAATAATGTATTATACGTATAAAGAACAGGAAAGAAAAAGGAGAGATAGCATAGCTAATCATATATAATGCTCAGAAAGTGTGAAATTTGAAAGTCACAAAAGAGAGCGTCAAGTACGTGATGTAATATGCCGCGTTTTGATATGCGTTATTTATTCGTAGCATATTCACTTTCCCGACTAGAAGAGTTAATAATTGTTCATTTAGATTTTCATTTTATTTATTAAGTTGAGAAATAATCATTTATAGTAATAACGTTTGTGTATAAACATATTTTAGGTCAATAGTATCCTGAAATTATCGAAGTGAGTACAGTAGTGCATAAATTGGAGCAGTAATTAATTTAAAAAGTAAAAAGAAAAACAACAAGTTTGATTTCTTTTTTTACGCTCACATCAATCGAAAAATTGAGAAGATGAAAACTTTCTTTTTCTTTTTTTTATTAATTGGCAACGTTATTTGTGCCCCATGGTTGGATTTACTTCTTGGAGAACAAGCTTATCCCGCTCATAGATCTGATTATTATTTGAATCAACGTTACAATCAACGACAAGGAAGAGGTGGAAAAGAACGTTGGAAGCAAATTTGCAGGACTATAAATGGAGATCCTTATACATTTCCAGGACAAGTACCTTATCCCGCTGCTCCAGTGTGTCCATGGTAAAATGATATTTCGAAATTTGTCTTAAGTTGATGACATTATCCGTGCCAAAATAGTAATATGATTATTAAAGGTATAATAACAACAAATGTGTTAGTTTTAAAAATATGAATTTATTATAATAATGTTCTAAACTCTATTTAAAAGAGTATTTCAGTCAGATATAGACATTAGTCCTAAATAAGCATTAATACTAGAGTCACGGATTGCCTATCTGTCGTGCATGACGAGTGTATGTATACACGTGTATTTGAATGTGTGTTATTATGCAAAAAATAGGCAAGCATAAAAATAAGAAAAGCTTTGTACATCATTCATCGATTTCCTTATTCCAATAAGAAACCAGTTCTCCAGTCATACGTGTAGATGTTATTGATTACGTATCACTTAATCGTATTGGAATACTCTCTATTATCGAGTATGTACTTATGTAACGTACAAAAATAAATTATTTACAGTATGTATGAAATATTATCGTCTTAAAATACTATGATAGAAATTATATATATATATTACTTTATGTGTATATAAATATGGATATATAAAATTTAGAATATATATATATATATATATATCTTGCACAAAGTAAACAATAGTTTACAAAAGCTTGAACAAATGACGTATAGAGTAAATGATATAAGGAAAACAATCATTTCCAAACTTGAATTAATCCATCTTTGCTGCCTGTGAGTATACACGTATTGGACATGGATACAGCAGATATGGTATCATGGTGACCAGATGGCGGAGTTTCTGGTCCTTGTCCACCTTCTTCTGGATTTCTTCCTCTAACACTACTACTTCCTCCTGATGGTGGCATAGAACAACCACCTGCCAATACTTCTTGAACTACATTTGTACCGTCTATCAAGCGTTGTCTGTAAACAATTAGATCGACAAAGATATTATCTTAAAATATAAAATTATTTTGTAAGAGAAAATAGAATTATTTAATATAAGTAAACACTTACTCATATACATATGAATTTGGTGAAACAACGTCATTGGCGGCAGGTAATGCAACATGAGAATCATTGGGTGTGTTTAAGTCCCAAAAACGTAATCGCATGTCAGTTCCACCAGCTAATAAGAAACCAGAGCGATCAATGCATCCTGAATACATCGAATGAACGCTGTAACCACTTTGACTATGAGTAAGCGGTGGTGTACTTGATGCCCAAAGTACTAGTTGTCTAAAACCAGTTTCTAAATTCCACATGGAAATTTCATTGTTTCCTTGTACGGCTGATATTATCCATGAAGGTTCAGTTGGATGCGTTATTACCTTTTTAACTCTTGCTCCTAATGTATGCATAAAAATATTATCAATTACGAATCATTTATAATTTTGTAATAAAATTTATAATTACCTGTTGGATGTTTTATAGTTGCAATTGGTAATAGGAATCGTAAATCCCAACAAATATGAACACCTGAGCTTGTACCAAGAGTTAACCATTGCTGATAACTATTAACACAAAATGAAGTTATTATTCCATTCTTCAAATCATTTTCCAAACGCCAGGTTGTTTTAGGACATCGTAAGTCCCAACCAACTAAAGATCCATATAGCGAAGCATATACAAGAAGTGATTGTGATCCAGAATCTAAATATTGTACATCGACTACACATCCTTCGTCCTAGAAAATGAAAAGATTATATTTCTCAATTAATGACAAACGAAATTTCTTAATGATGTATAATAAATTATAATAAAAATAATATATTACTTGAACATCTAATTGTCGAGAATGTAGAATACTCATTTTACTGGAATTAGGTTCTATCCTCAATACAAATACCGTTCCAGAAAGGCTAGCAGAACTTGCTATTGATTGTCCTTGTTCACAGACAGCTAAACCAACAAGAGGACCATTTCTGTTCATGTATGTTTGCCTATTAGACAAAATATAATAAATATTTATATATATATACACACTTTATAAAATAATAGTCATTAAAAAAATTTTTCACAAATATAACTAAAATACCTAGAACGATTAGCAATATTACGACCTTCCATTCTGCTAGCATCCCATATTTTAATACACCCATCTGCTGAAGAACTAGCAAAGAGACTACTGTCTGGGATGGATACTAAACTATTAACACCAGCTCTATGCTCGTGAAGATGAGCAACAGGAACACCCCGAGGTCTCCATCCACTTGGTAATAATCTAGAGCCTTTTATTAATATTATTATTAATTAATGAAATAATGAGTAGAAACGATATTGTAATTTTAGATAGAAATATTGATTATTTTTATTTACCAGTTTGCCATGCAATATTATCGGCCCAATGTTGTGCTCTTAAAGCAGCAGCATGTTGTTCCTGTTTTCTATAAGTTAATTGTCTTACTTCCAGTCTGCAGGGTGCACATCGATCTGCAAACCCATAAAATGTTTGTTGCAATATAATAATTCAGTAAAACTGTTCATGCATTAGAAATAAATAAGTATATATTATAAAGTATCTTACATTGTATATAAGAACGTTCGTGAAGAGAGTGGTCATTTATGCTATTCATGTCAGACAGACTATGCTGTGGCGACAAATGTATATCACCTCCATGTATACTTTGATTAGGACTTCCACTAGTTATAGCCAAATCAGCCATTTTTAAGATTGCATGCTAAATTATTGTTAAGAAATATTAGAAATTTTGTATTATCTTCATATGTTGTAATAATGTAATAGTACCTGAGTATTATCTTGAGCTGCAAACATCGTACGCCATTCTTGATTCATTGATGCATAAGTACCAGTAGTATCAGACGTTCTCCTATCTAATCGTTTATAAGATGGAAGACCTAAGTCAGTTTTTGTATCTGGATAGAGTATTACAATATGATGTCTTATTTTATCCTTCATAGTATTTAATTCTAATTTTCCATCCACAGGTTTAACTATGTTCTGTTTAGTATCAGCTGAATTACGGTATTTATTTATTTTCATTAAATGTGGCTTCATTATGAGCAATTGGTCCTCAACCATTTCCGACATCGATTCTGAGTTCAAACGTCTAAAAAGCTAAGAGATGTGTTCAGTTCTCTATAATTGTAGTTTTACAAATCTTTTTGAAGTGAAAACTTCTTTAGAATAGGGATTGATTTGAAAAAAAAAATGAAACGCTGGTTCAGGCAACGAACTGGTAGATGCCGAGGCAACGGGGCAACAGGCCGCTATGCAACGGCCACGATATTTAGTAAGAAGAGAAATAGAGACAAACATATAGGATTGAGCCTGCGAGAGAATGAGACAGAATATAGCTATTCTATTCTATTTTTTTCTATTTCTATCTTTCTATTTCTACTTAAAAATGTTTCTATTTTATTAAAAAATTAATATTAAATTCTTTATATCGCAAATATTATAATTAATAATTATAAAATATACGGAATATAATAATTGTATTGTCTGTAATATTTTACAAAAAAAAAATGATTACAAGATACATCAGAAAAAAAGAATTAGACAACACTGTAGAATATTTTTCTTATCAGTATCCAAAGACATGTTTTTTAATTATAATGTTTGCGTATTTAGGAAATTTATAATAATTTTTCAATTTAATAGAAAAATTTTTAAATAGAAGAAACTGGACACGCGCGTGACACAACCAAATAAACCTTATTTGCTATTATATTTCCAATAAAAATACAATAATATAACTTATTTTAAAGATGTAGAAAAAAAAATTTGTTTAAATTGAAAAAATTGTGAATTAAAACAACAAAAATAAAAAATAGATTTTAAAATCGTTGTAATTCCAAACTAGATGAAACGAAAAAAAAAGAACACTATTGTTCCCTTCTTTAACAGCATCTACAGATAATTAGTTGCAACACAAAAAGAAATACTTGTGTGTGCTAACCCATAATAAAGATATCTCAAATTCAAAAGAAGGGTGAAAAGTGTGACAGAAAATATTCATCTACCTGAGTTTCAAAAAAAAAAATATAGTATATTTACTTATTTACTCTTAGTTTAGGACGGCGTATCCTTCTGTCGACAAACATTCTACCATTTTCGATTCTATCTATGGCTATCGCATTCAGCATTCCATCTAAATTGATTAAATTTAGAAATTGATAGTTTTTGTCATCTACCCCAAGATCATACCGGTGGATTTTGTTATATATGGTAAAATATTATAATAAATAAATTCTACAATTACCTTACTCTTGATACTGTGCATTCGTCTCATTCTCTCGAAACTTAGATTTTTGAAGGTTTCACTTCTAACACGTGTGATCTGCACACATGTTTTTTTTTTTTTTAATGACAACAGTTAAACTTACATTATTTAATGCAGTTGACATGCTTTTTTGTTGTGATACCGTTCCAGTAGTTGCCTTAACCCTTGCAGATTGTTTCTCTTCAAGAACTTCAAATAATTCCTCTATATCATTATATTTAACTATCGCATCATAAACTGTACGTGGAATAGGTGCTACGAGAGCTTCTAGCAGTAAAACTTCTTTCTCAATCTGAATAAGTGAATGTTTTAAATACGGTTGAATCATTGTTTGAACTTTACATTGGACGTCAACTACATGTAGTGTTCTTGCTGATGCTGATATAAATCCTACAGTTGCATGTCTTATCCATAAGTTTGGATGTACCTGTAAACATTGATATTGTTATCTTTGACGATTAAAAACAAAAAAAGAAAATATTTTTAATTATATACAAATAAAAACATACTAAGAAAACCATGGTCTCCGATAAAAGTTGGTATAAAGCAGATTTATCTAATAAACCCAATTCAGTAAGAGTTGTCATTGCATTGATAGCTTTTGTCGTAACGAATTCTTCAGGATCTGCTAAACCTTGTTGAAGGAGAGGCATAAGTATTGGACTACTATGCCAACCTATATAAGCTGCTACTCCAACAATACATTTGAAAAATGATGCTCTAAGTTCTTTATCTTCTTTATCATTTAAGAAAGTAATAACGTGACTTAATAAAATGTCATTTGCTTTTTGTTTTCCAAAAAATACACACAATTTGTTTATTCCATTTTCCATTAAAGTCTGCTTTACCAAGTTTTGTGAATCTGTTAAAAGTGTAGATACAGATTGTTGCACCTAAAACATACAGTATTATGTAACAATATAAACTATCAGGAAAAGATCATGCAACTGTAGTTATTAAATACATTTAATCATAGTTTTGTTTACCATTTCGTGCAATGTTTGTAGCTCATTATCATAGCTAGGCTTTGGTCCTTCTTTGTTCCCAAAATTAGATAAGTGAGAATTTTCCAAATATCGTATTGCAATATGAGCCAGATGAGCAATATTTTCTGCATAAGCTGCTCTCACAATAACAGCATCATCTTGAGGGAGCTGCGCTAATCCAGGTAGAATATATTCAGGAAATATTTTAACGTCAGAAGATGGAATCGATCTCACAAGATGTAAACATTTAGTTAACGTATGAATAGCGGATACCCTTACACGTGGTGCTGGATCATGAACTAAACAAAACTATACAAATACAGTTTATATGTTATACATAATTTTCTTAAGCATTATATAATTAAATAATAAATAAATTCTTACAATATACGGTAAGATTCTGTCATGGATAGTTTCATCAGAAGTATGTTCCGCCAATTCAAGTAGAATTTCTAAACTCTGTAATTTAGATTGTGAATGATGAAGACCTCTTATACAAGAGGTTACCAATTGTGTTACGATAACTAAACCATCCAAAATTTCAGCACGAGTAGTACTTTCATCTATCCCTGGACTATTCCTTATTGCTTGAGATGGTTTCAAATGTAAATTTTCTTCTATCGAAATATCACAGTTTTGAACAGATATTGATGAGGACGTATGATCCATTTCTTTAACTTCATTTTTATAACATTGATCGCTGTCTACTATACCTTCAACTACTATATCTTCTTCATCTTGATCAACATTGTTTTTAGATTCTACGTTTAAATCGCATTTGCCATTATTATCATCATTAACTTTCCTATTTTTCGTCCGAGTTTCTTCCTCTTTAAATATATTAATGATATTTCTAATATCTTTTTTTAATCTGTTTATTTTTTCATCTGGCGAAAGAATAGGTGCTGCAGAGAAAATCAGCATGTACGATTGTAGAAATGAATAAAAATATTCTGGAAATACTGTTCCACGAGCTTGTGCTAAATAAATTTCTGCACTTTTTCGATTAGCAGGGTTCCTCTCTAACATAGAAGCAAGTAATTCTCTTATGCCATCTTTTTGTATAGAATCTAAATGTCTAGTGACTGAATATTCATTATTCCTATATGCTAGAAACAACGTTTAAAGTAATGAAATAATTAAAGTTACACAAGATTGTAATAGATTGTTAAAATATTTGCATATATTCAAAATATCAATTGTACCTAAAAGTTGAGAAAAATCGAATGGTGGATGTCCTTCGTTATATAATTCTGTAAGAGCACAGCCTGCAGAAAAGATATCCATCATTGGATTTAAATCGCCAGTTTTGACTTCTTGTTCAGGTAATAAAATATTATTGCTCAATTCAGAGGATAATGTTTTAACAAATCTTTCTGGTGCTATGTAACATGTTCTTCTTCTTGATGTGTCAAAAAAATATGAAAAATCAGCAGGATTATCCTCTGGTAGATAAGTCGGTTTAAAACTAGCAAAATCTGTTAGCAGAACCCAGTTCCAGCTGGTTATCATTATATTTTCTAATTTGATATCACCATGGCAAACTCCAAACTATTGTAAAAAAAAACAAATCAGAAGAAATGATATATAAATTTATCTTAGGAAATTTTAAATGTAAACAAATGTGATAAATTTGATGGTTCACAATGTGTTAAATTGCCAATGCAGAAACCTTAAAGATATTTACCTTGTGTGCTTGGTGAAGTGCGTAGAGAACTTGAAAAGTAATCCATTCTTTTTCAATGTAAGTTAAAAATGGTCTAGTACTAATTCTATCGTACAAGGAATATTTAACATATTCTCTCATTATCGAGCCAGCTTTTTCTGTTAACTGATTAAAAAGAAACATAATAATATAATTATCTATATACAGTCATTATAGATAAATATTATAACTAGTTATTTAGTATTATTTTCTAAAGCTTACAATAGTTTTTTGAAAGGGTAAACAATTGACTGCAGAAGCAAGCTTATATCTAATCTCTTCTAGTTTTTCCTTATATGCTGATAATGGTAATGTTGGATCATGTATTGCAAATACTTTGATTACTATCAAACCTTCATCGCTTCTTGCTCTTGCTACTTTAAAAAATCTAGTGCTTCCTAAACTGTATAATAACAATATGAAATGTTTATTTGCGTGTATCAATAATGTCATCATCAAATGTTATGTAGATTTTTTTTTAGATAAGTTTACATTTAATGAAACTCATTAAATTGGGTTAAGGTTAGAATACTTACTTAATATCGAATAATAAATCATTGTGATCTGTTAAATAATGTTCTACTGGAAATATTTGGCTGGGGGCAATGCCCACTAGTTGATTTCCCATTTTGTAAGAATATTTTGTTACTGAGTACTGATTTATTGACCTCCGGCATCCATATTGTGCTAACTTCACTTTCTAATGAAATCAGGTTAGTTTAGGCAAAATTATTCCTAGATTTATACATTTTGCACATTTGATTGTTACGTTATTAGATTAAATTAATAAATGTTGTTTTTACGAGTCAGATCATTTTATCATTAATTAAAATAATAAAATAAAAAGACAATTGTAGTATTTTTAAAATGAAAAGTAATATTATCTGTGCAATGCAATATTTGAATTTGATCTAGTTGTTAAATTCTTAGCTATTGGTAACCTTTGTATTTTTATAATTTTTTTATTAATGAATTGTGCGGGTAAATTTTTGAATTTTTGTTTTCTAATTTATTTTTCATTAAATTTGTATTTTTTTCTTTTAAATTAGTTAAATAGGTTTTTTTTTTTTAATACTCTATAATATATTTTATAATACATTAGAATTTAGAGATACAATATCTTTATCGATTAATCATGTATTTCATTATCTTTAGATAAAATGAAATCTGACGACGCCATTTAAACAAATTCAATCGTCACACTTATTTATGTAATATTATCATACGGATTTATTTAATAATCCACATTTCCTTGTTAGATAATAAAGAAATAAAACAAAGAAATAATTCATTACGATGAATTTTATATATATTAAAAAAAAAAAAAAAAAAATGCACTTTGGTTATTATTAAAAAGAATTTTTATGTACAGTTTTCTAATAGACACAAAATAATTTACAGTTTCGATATCTTAATGAGAACTTCGATAAAAATAATTAAATAATTAAATAATTAATATTGTTAAGTTTTATTCTTACATTGTTTTTTTTTTTTTTTAATTTTATGAAAATTCGATCAAAGTTATTTTTTATACAGGTAATTTTCGCGTTAGAGAATTAATTAGGGGTTTTTTTTTTAAATATCTTATTATACGAAACAGACAAGTAGAATAAAAAATAGGTATTTAGTAATTATTTTACGTTTATAAATAAGATATACGTGTTTATTTAAATAATAGATAATTAATGAAAAGTATTTTATTGAAATTATATTAAAAAGAAAATATATTATTACTGTAGTCAAAGTAAAAACTACATCTATATACACGTGCCCTAATTACAGTGTGTTAAAAAATATATATAAATATATACTTATAGAAAAAAAAAGAATGTTTAATTGTAATATTTCAAAATGCACAAATAACAAAATATCAAAATGAGAAGTTGTTTGAATAAAACTTTGATTATGTCTCGTGTTTTACAAGTAATTTCTTAGAATTGTTTCAATCGTTTTAAGAGAATGTTGGTTTTATATGGTTAGATGGGGGATTTACCTGATAAGTTAATCTTTCTATGCGCAAAAAGAAAAACAAAAAAAAAAGAAAAAGAAGTAATTATTTTGTAGAAGTTTAAATACACATGATGATTTTATTATTCTTTTAAATAATCTATTGTATCAAGTATATGTTGTGTATTTACTTACCGATTTATTGTTTGATTTAAAATTTCTTCTAAAACGAGGGAATGATGATAATTACAATATCATGAAGAAATGAAAGAAACGGATATTGAAAAGACTTACGTACGTTTCGAAATTTTGACTTTAAGCTTGTAAGATAAGAGTCGAGCAGAAAAATTTCCACCAGACACGCGTCAAGCAAGTGTGTCCTCGGAATTTTCTACATATGTATGTATGTATATATGTATGTATATATATATATGTATTATACACCTATCTATAGGTAAACTAGATAAGAAAAAACATCGTCGCGTTATTTTCAAAGGCAATCATCAAAAATGAAATTGGGATATTTTAGAATTCGAAACGAAATCATTTTAATATTTTCCTCATTTCTTCTTTTTTTTTTTTTTTTTTTTCAAAATTATTACATAACAGAATGACAAACTTTCTTTACACATACACACATACGAGCGTGCTAATAGATAAATTTTATTATTAGAAATTTTTATACGTACCTATACACATACAAAGAACACACACGAAACTTACATCTAATCAACATCTGGCTGATTATTCGAACTATATAATTTCTTTTTTCGATTATCTTTTTTTCGATAATATTTTTTTCGACGATTTTATTTGAAATATTATTACAAAAAAAAATATCATCACTCTTTTTCATAATAACACTTTTGTAAGACATTTTGAATTTGTTGTTTTTAAATTAAAAATTAAAAATAAATAGATAGAGAAAGAGAAACTCGGTAATTCGAAAAGACATTTACGAGGTTGTATGTCTTCTGTGCAGCAAATACACTTAACTAGTTTAAGTAAATCTACTATATATGTATATGTGTAATAAATATATACATATACATTGAAAGAACACGTAATAATATCGTCTCTGGTGTGTCTTTTAACAAAACCGAAGATGCGGAGCGTTATGAAACACGCACTTGCCGGAAGAATGCTTTTTTTTTCTTTCTCTCTCTCTCTCTCTCTCTTTTTTTCTTTTCTATAACTTAGGTTAGCTCAACGTAATATGTTACATGTTACATGTATATGTGTGGTTACGATAATTGCATTTGGTTTTCTTCGTCGACACTTAAGAGAGAAACAAATTTATTAACCCATAGTTATTAACGTATCACCACAATTTTAGATAAAATTCAAAGATATACAGAAGAAAACCAAAAAAAAAAAAAAAAAGAAAAAACTGAAATTATTACTTAACGTTATTTGAATATAAAACAAGTGGGAACATTTCGTTGAAATATTTTCATTTTAAATTATATAATTACACCCTATCTTCTTGTGATTGTAATACTTTGATAAATTTAATTTGTAATTAATTGAAAAAGTTTCATTCACAATGTTCGACACGAATTAAAATGCATTTCTTTTGATGTTTCATCTTCTTTTTCTTGTTCTTTTTACATTTTCGTCAGGGGGGGGGGATCATATTTTGAACATACGTAAGTAAATTAGTCGTTAATGCATGCATGAATGCGTGTGTATGCATAGGATGTTCTTCTTACATACTTAATACACATTGAAAAAGATCGCGTTTCTCTTGAACAAGGTGGGTGGAGTTCGAACTCACTTGCTTATCGCGATAATTAAATGGAGTTATTTATGATAGGTATACTGCGAACTACGAACGCAATGTCGAGTTTATAATGTTCGTTTATTTCTATGCAAGATATCTAACTTTAATATCTCGAAAGTATAATATAACGAGGTTTTGTTTGTCGTCTGGTGCCATCGTTGTCTCTGATGATGGTCCATCTTTTCATCTTCATTTCTTTTATTTCTTTTTTATTTTTTGTATTTTACAAGGACTAACTAAATCTTAAGAAATATATATATACATATATTTTTTTTTATTTGTAAATCATTACACATAGTTTTATTTCGTGTTATGTGATAAGCAAATTAACGTGTACAAATATACAAATAAATAATTGACATTTTATAGATTAATATCTTTTATCTTTTGCGATTGAATTAAATCAAATTAATAAAAATGAGTAAACCTTTCGTTACGATCGTTTGTTTAATTTAACGAAATATATTGGGTTGTTTGGAAAGTAATTTCGTTTTATTTCTGTGAAAATGAAGACAATTTTTGTTTCGAGGTTGAACTTAGGGATTTTCGAGTGGGTTTAAATAGTTTAATTTGTTTAATTTAAACTATCAACGAGATTTCACGTGTTGTTATTTGCCAATTTGCATTAACTAATTTCAAAATTGTGTCAAGAAAACACGTAATTACTTTCCGAACAACCTAATATATTCGATTATTAATCGGTGTACAATACAAGTTAAAAAAATAAATGAGTAATAATTATTTCTAATTGTTAACTAATTGTGAATCATACTTATACTTAACAACTAATTTCTATATTTAAAAAATAAAAAAATTAACAAAAATATCAAATCAAACAAACATACTTTATACGCGTTTATAAGATAATTGTTAGAAAAATATTTAGCCTAAAATTGAATACTTTTGTACACTGGATATATTTTCCCTGATGTTTAATAAAATGAATTTACAAAAAAAAAAAAATCATTGAAATAATACAACGATTAGGAGTTTTATGTGATGTTTTCTTCGATGATTTTTAAAAATATTTTTTTACTTTATTTTTTTTTTCATATTCGATAGAGTTTCACCAGCATTGTTTCAATCGTTTATTGTCAAGAGAGAAATGTGCATTTTACTTTCGACTCGTGTTTTATTTTTTCTTTTCTATTTTCTTCTTTTAAAATTCATAGAAGATGGGATCACACACGCAACACATATGGGTTGGACAATTTGTGTGACGTAAGGGGGGAAGGACAATGCATTTGTTGTGCCTTTTTAACCGCATCGAAAGAGAAAATGCATTTAAATGTCTATAACATTTGTTAGAAAAAAAGTTAAGATATATACAGGGCACATTAGGAGTTTAACACGTGTTAAAAATGGGGAAAGAATAGAACAACAACAACAAAAACAACAAAAAAAAAAAAAAAGAAAGAAAGAAAAAAATAAGAATAATTAAAATCAACGAGGTTATTACGTACAGGAAATGCATATGAAAAAGAAAGAGAAAGAAAGAGGAGGGTGGTGGGACAATTGGAACGTGTGACTTTCTTTATCACATTTATCAGAACAATTAACTTTTACCATTTATTTTTTTTATTTTTCACAATAAAAAATATTATTAGATCGAGTCATAAGTAACTTCCGATGCGACTATGTAGAATCTATTTTTCGTATTTACCTACTATAAGTCATCGAAACAAACGAATTTTTGATATCACTGTATAGATGAGGATTCAGTTAGTCTTCTGTTTTTCTAACTTTTTTATGCAGTCAATGTTACATTTAATCGTTTTTCTTAACCACTGAAATGGATAGTAAAAAGTGCATATTCGACATGTGTAATGCTTTAAGAATTGAAACAAGGCAATAGCACTAAGGTGGCAACTGAAAAAATATGCAGCGTATACAGTGCAGGACTGATAACTGATTGGGCAGTCAGAAATTGGTTTGTAAAATTTCGTTCTGGAGATACGATCTTAAAAGATGAACCGAGTGCAGGACGTATTTCCGACTTTGATAAACCTTTTAATGGTAATATTGGAGCAAAATCCAATAGATATGTTGAACAATTGCAAAGAGTGCAAAAAAAAAAAAACTCCATGAAAGGTGTCTTGCACTTATCAGTCGCAGAAACGCCATTCTTTGTCTTCATAAAAACCGGAAGTTATTTGTGACTCGATCTAATACATTGAATTCATTCATTCAATTTATATTCAATCGTTCGAATGTAAATCTAGGTGCCCCATGTAGTTTTAATTGTTGATTTTAAACAATGATAAATGAATTTATTTTCATCGGATTTTTATAAAATATATGAAAAATAACTTACTTGTATATTTGATTCGTTAATTTGTTGATGAACGTCTCTTCTTGGTGATTAATTCTCGTTAGGGTTTCTTTTTTTTTTTTTTTTTTTTTCTTGAATGGTGATATTAGAAAGTAGATTAAAAAATTGTTTGTCTGTCGTCGTCGTCGTCGTCGTTGTTGTATCGGACGGCGTCCACAAAGAGAGCAACTCCATGACAGTGTCTTTTTTTACCATACTGTCGATGGATAGCTCTCTTCATAGTTCGCGCCTTGTTTTTATCTTCTTGACCCATATGCACCAAAATGCATCAAAAAAATTCCAATTGTTGATGAAATGGCTGAGGAAAAATATTGAATTAGATTGAAATTGGTATTTAAAAGATATTAATCAAAATATTAAATAAAATTCAAATATTGTTGGTCATTGCTAAAATGAATTAAATTTTATAATTATATTTAAAAGACAAAAAAAATATATATATGTTTATTATTATATTATTTGTTATTATATTAAAAATATATTTTTTATTATATTATTATATTATTTAGTATCGAGTTATCGAGTATATTATAACGATGAAAGGCATTACATACAAAAAAAACATATATATATATATATAATAAATAATAAAATTGTTTCGTAGAGTTATTTGATAATGCAATTAGTTGGGGAAAATAATAATTTTCTTAATGGTATTTTTTGTAGATAAGAGAAAGTATTATCAAAAGAATTAAAAATTATCCTCCGGGGTGTCGTGTGAACTAAAATACATGTGGTATATAAATGCAAGTTAAGAAGAATCATCATCGTCTTCGAGTAGTAGTAGAACGAAAATGCGTGCTTTAAAACTTGCTTCTTGAGCTCGTTATCGGGAAGGTGCTAGCTACTTCTCCTTCTTTAGCATTACACCACCTGATTGCAAGGCAAACACGAGCTACTCGCGTTAGCTCGTGCCATTCGGTTGTTTAACACTTTCTTCTTTAGTTCGATGTTGTTGCTGTATTTTTTTTTATTTTTCTTCTTCTTTTTACCACGCATATAATGTAAGATATTTCGTTTAGAACTTTTGTCTATTTAACGTGTCCGATTATTTTTCTTTTCTTTTCTTTTCTTTTCTTTTCTTTTTGCAAATGTTCAGGTGTACCCCTTTTTTTTTTATTTTATTTTAAAACGAGTAACATTATTAACAATTGTGAGTTAGGTATTGGGATCTCTGGCAGGGGCGTGGCTTAGCA